CGACAGAGTCGCAGTGGGGGGGGGGGGGGGGGGTCTTGTAATGACTGCGGATGGCACCGCCAGACAAGATTGGTAGATAGTAGGGATGTCCCGATACCGATACTAGTATCGGTATCGGGGCCGACACCAATCATTTTCAAGAGTACTTGTACTCGTGAAAATGCCCCGATTCTTAAGTCAGATACCAGCCCTTTAAATTTCCAAACAGCAGCGGCCGCTCCGCGCTTGTGGGAACCTGCAGATAGCTGTCCATGGCAGTGCCTGTCCGGTTCTTTATCTCCTCCTCTTCGGCGCAGACACGGCCATGGACAGCCCCAGGGGTAGAACTACCACCCCAGGGCTAGAAGCTGGGAGTTCCTGCCACACACTGAAGGGGAGGACAGACGGGGAGGACTGGGCTGGTATGGCCGGACTGGACATGGCAGCATCGCCGGTCTGGACGTGGGGGAGGCCAGTGTCCCGACATCTTCGGTGAGGTGGAGTGACCGCAGAGCCACTACAGATGTCCACGTTGCCTGGTGAGATCGACACGCAGCCTGGCGAGAGGAATTCTGCTTTTGGGGACATGTATTTGCAGAACACATGTTCCCAAAACAGAATACATGTCCCCAAAGCAGAATACTATTCTGTCTCAGGGACATGTGTTCTGCTGTGGGGACATCCGTATTTAGCCCTGGTGGGAAACTGCCCTAAAATCATCAGTCTGTGTTGTTTTAGAAAAAAATGTCACATGTCCCTTTTAGAAAAAGTATCGGTAATTGGTATCGGCGAGTACATGAGGGGACAGTATTTGTACTTGGTCTGAAAAAAGTGGTATCGGGACATCCCTAGTAGATAGATGTCACCAGCACACCAGAAGTATTGTAATCCAATGTGCTCCTTTATTTAAAATGTCATGTCATCAGAACTTGTGCTTTCAGGGGCTGCGCCGGGTCCCCTTCATCAGGCTCAGCAGTGACGTCATGTCATCAGAACCAGCGCTTATAGGGGCTGCGCCGGGTCCCCTTCATCAGGCTCAGCAGTGACGTCATGTCATCAGAACCAGCGCTTATAGGGGCTGCGCCGGGTCCCCTTCATCATGCTCAGCAGTGACGTCATGTCATCAGAACTTGTGCTTTCAGGGGCTGCGCCGGGTCCCCTTCATCAGGCTCAGCAGTGACGTCATGTCATCAGAACCAGCGCTTATAGGGGCTGCGCCGGGTCCCCTTCATCAGGCTCAGTTACCCTCCGAATGTACCAAATGATTATAATGAATGTTTTGCGCTTCAACTAGAACAATAAATACATAAACAAATCTCTCTAATAAATAAGTGCTGAATAATACACGCAAAGTGTTCCTGTAATTATCAATCCTAAATAATATCCCTTCCGAAAGTTCATATATTCCGCGTTCGGAGGTTCACACATGTGGAATCACACGTATGTAGTGCTCAGGATTTGTCCCAGGTGCACCGCGCTCTTTATCCTTCCACTGTGAAAGTTCTGTATACAAAGTCCGTACACCAACTCCAATTATCACCCCGGTGCTCCCCCTCTCAGTGGGCTGCTCACCCCTCTCAGTCAGCCGCTCACCCCTCTCAGTCAGCTGCTCACCCCTCTCAGTGGGCCACTCACCCCTCTCAGTGGGCCACTCACCCCTCTCAGTGGGCCACTCACCCCTCTCAGTGGGCCGCTCACCCCTCTCAGTGGGCCACTCACCCCTCTCAGTGGGCCGCCCACCCCTCTCAGTCAGCTGCTCACCCCTCTCAGTGGGCCGCCCACCCCTCTCAGTCAGCCGCTCACCCCTCTCAGTGGGCCCCTCACCCCTCTCAGTGGGCTGCTCACCCCTCTCAGTCGGTTGTTTACCCCTCTCAGTGGGCCGCTCACCCCTCTCAGTGGGCCGCTCACCCCTCTCAGTGGGCCGCTCACCCCTCTCAGTGGGCCGCCCACCCCTCTCAGTGGGCCACTCATCCCTCTCAGTGGGCCCCTCACCCCTCTCAGTCGGCTGTTCACCCCTCTCAGTGGGCCCCTCACCCCTCTCAGTGGGCCACTTACCCCTCTCAGTGGGCCCCTCACCCCTCTCAGTGGGCCCCTCACCCCTCTCAGTGGGCCGCTCATCCCTCTCAGTGGGCCACTCACCCCTCTCTGTGGGCCCCTCACCCTTCTCAGTGGGCCACTTACCCCTCTCAGTGGGCCGCTCACCCCTCTCAGTCAAATATTAATCAAAACTTGCTGCTGTGGAAGAATCACGCAGCACAAATGTAAAAAGTGTGCCCGTCATTTATGAACAGAAACTGAAAACTAGCTCAGTCATGAAGGGGTTAAACTAGGATTGAGGGGGATGGGAAAGATGGAATATAATGGGGCAGATACGACAGACAGGGGTCAGGATATCATGGAGTGTGGAAGAGGGGAAGATGAGGGGAGGGTACTGGAAGTGGATAAGGAGATTCCCATGTGGAGATGACGGTACTCCCCTGTTTCCCCGAAAATAAGACCTAGTTGTGACCATTGCCGGGGCCGGTGGTGGCATAAGGGGGGAACTTGAAGAGCCGCGGGAGAGAATCAGCGGTGCCAACTAAGCCGGCGCTGGAGGAAGCGAGGCGGCACCGGAGGGAGCAGAGCCGCATAAGCCGACGCCTCCTCTATAGCCCCGCCTCCTGTCACAGGCGGAGTCATACCAAATGCACTCCGCCTGTGAGGAATCCATGGTGAAAGCTTCGCCCATTCTGGCCAGTGATTGGTTACCAAATTGCTCTAGCAAAGGTACGGTGCCCCTGATTGCCCCCATCACCAGATTTGTGTACATGAATAAGTGCGGATTGTTGTACATAAAAAAATTTAAAAAATAAGACCTCCCCCGAAAAATAAGACCTCCCCCGAAAATAAGACCTCCCCCGAAAAATAAGACCTCCCCCGAAAATAAGACCCAGTGTGTGTGT